CGTCGCCACTCGGCGGGGACGCTCCAGCGGGGACCCCCGAGGCGGGAGCGCGGGTGAGTGAGAGAGACAGCCCGGTCCGGGGCTCTGCCTTCCCCGCGCGCCTGGGACCCTGAGGTCGGGCGGGGAGTGGGGCAGTGCCTTCCCGGGGTGCCGGGGCTGCGAACCGTCAGCTTTGCGGGAAAACTTAGCTCTCCCGTGGGGTCCTTACGTCCCTCCTTTCATGAAACAAAAGCAGAAATCAAGAACGAGAGAGAGGCGGGGGGAACCCCCCCAAAGCGCCTCTCCCATCCTGGGGCGAGAACTTCCGGCTGCTGGCCCCCCAGTCCCGCGCGCATCCCCCCTCCCCGCCGTGCAGAGACAGAGACCGACTTTTCAGACGGAACCACGGATGGTCACGGGGTGTGGGTCGCGCTTGGGATGTTGGAAGGGACAAAGGATGTAGTTTGAAATAAAACGTCCTACGGGTGCAAACTTTGAAAGCAGAGAAACCTGGGGCGGGGGTCAGGGGGTGGGGGAGGCTCCAAGGTTGGTTCCCCTGCCTGGCAATCGCTGACCCAGGCGCGTCCCTGTACCCATCAGAGGCAGGGAGTTGACCTCTCCTGGCTGCCTTTGTGTCCAGCTTCTTTGGCTGGTCGGGGAGAAAATGCCAAGGACTGGGTGTAATCGGAACATAATGCCATTGTAAATGGGAATGGCCTCTTCTTTTTAGTCTCAGTTTCTCCATCTGTGACAAGGCGGTAGGGACCCGCCTCTTGGTGGTGATGTGACGAAATGAAAGTAAAAATAACAGAAAGTGCTCTGAACAAAGTCAGCAACGTGGTGCGTGAGCCTTTGTCCTTGTGCAGCGACACGGGCCACCCACTCGCAGGGTGCCGTGGAAGAGATTCCCTGGCTGCTACACCGGACGTGGATTTGGAGTTTGGGTGACGGTCAATGAGACTTTTGCCTAATTTTCAATTCATTTGCTTTCTCTTATCTCACAAACTATCATGGAGCTGGCTTCCCCCAACCTAGAGGTGTTTTCTAGAGTTAAGTAAGCAAAGCTCCTCTCTGCCCCAGAATAAAAACCTGTCAACTCCATGGTCCGCAAGATTCCATTCTTGCAAACTGTCAAATCCTTGTCAATTTTTGAGTCACCAGACTAAGATAGAAAAAGGAATAGTAAGGAAAAGAGGGAGAAAAGTGACCAAAATCTTTGTAAAACTGTAAATGATCTTACAGACCTGGAGGGGATTCATAGATCCATAGATCACTTGTTTCCATAAACTACAAGGGAAGAAAGTAAGATCTTAAAAGAGCACATTTCTGGATGGTCTTGAGGTAGAAAAGTATCTGAGGACCACTGTAGGGGCAGTTATGAGTTTTCTAGACAGAAGAGTACTGGGGACTGAGGACATTTGAAGGGGACACTCAGGACAGAGAGGCAGATGTTTCTGGCTGGTACTCAGGCCTTCTTAGGCTAGGGGCCTCAGGAAGAGACATTCTGACTTGTGGGGGCCTGGTCAGAGGAGGCTGGCACTGGGATTTCCTTCCTCCTTTGGCTGGCAGTGCCCACATATGGCAGAGAGATGGGAAATGCAGAGAGAGGGATCATGGAGATAATTAGGCTGGAGCAAAATAAGAACAAGGCCTTATGTGACCCATGCCTATCTTACCAGGTAATACTGCTTTCTTATTGGGCTCATTTAAGGAGGTATGTTGGAGGCTTCAGGAAGGGGAGTCCCAAAAAGCAGTCTTATTTCAGATGGTCTCTTAGATCTGGTACCTACCTGAAGACCACTCTAATGCTACCTGCTCTTTCTCTGGCCTAAGGCCTGATCTTGGGGGTGAGGATGATCTGTTGAAAGGGCAGAGGATCCAGGCATGACCTGTGCTTGTTTTCTGACAGTGGTTTGAACAGTGTCATTCAGGGAAGGAGAAAGAAATAACCAAGCAAATCAGGACTGGGTGATCTCATTGAGTCTGTCCTCTAATACAGTCCTGAGAGTTCCTTGGCCCATGCTGCTGGGCTATCGGACATCACTAGCGACTAGCAGTTGTTTCAGAAGGCAGCAAAATCTGAAGCAGAAAGGCCCTCCAGAGTTCCTGTAGAGCCACTGTGCCCTGTGCACACTCCTGCCTTCTCCAGTACCCTGACAGATGGTTACCGAGCCTCTGTGTCCTTGCCTTTGTGTGTGAGGGGGTGGGGGTACTCTTGGTTATGAGCCCAGAGTCTGACAAATCATGTGCTTCTCGTGGTAGTGGGGAAGATTATGCACAGCCACTTCTTGCTGTGGTTTGGGCTTCCAAATACACTCACCCCAGCAGCAGGGACCCGCGATGTCCTTTTCGTTTCGTTCACCTATTTCTAGCCCTTCAGCTTGAGGCAGAGTTCAGGGTTCTTACTTGTCAGGGTGACTGTGTTTCCATGTCATTTGTTTGAGTTGTCTGTGTCACCTTGCAAGCCCCTGGAGGGCGGCCCTTGTTTGTGTAGCCATTGTTAGGCTTTGGTTGCCCACCTGCCACCCTGCTGTCATTCTTTGCTGCTGTTCAGCCAGTGGTGACAGGATGCTGAGACCTAGAGATTTTCCTCTTTCTGCACATTTTCCCACCACTCCAGGCCTCAAAGCCACAGTGCTAACCTGGAGACTTAGTTTATAGGCTTGGGTTTTCCATCCGTAGGCTGGCTGTTCATTATGAAAGGGGGTGGGGGTGGGAAAAAGGCTGGAAATCATAATAAAAATCATTGCAGAGAAAGAACTTTCCCACCCAAAGGGGAAATGCTGAGGCGCTGAGCAGCCAGCCCAAGGAAGAATAATCTTAGAAAAATGTGGCTCCCTAGAGTAAAGGAAGCGCTTTGAACCCAGCCCCTTCTGAGCTGTTAAATAGCTGTCGCCTGAATTGCTCTAACTTCGTAGTCCAATTTCGTCATTTAGTTGGCTGCCCTGAGCACCGTTACAAGGTGCAGTGAAGACTGCTGAGGGCAAGAAGCAGCCCCTGAGGGAGTGGCATTCCCCAGGAATGTGGTTTCTGTCCTGGGGGTGAGGACTCCCTGAAAGCCTGCTTGATTTGCCCCACACAGAAGGAGGGCTGTGGGGAAGAGCTTGTATGTATGTTTAGAAGCCACATCCTCTTAAACTTGCAAGAACCCGTTTATTGCTTCCCTTGACCTGTGTGTGAATGCTGAGCTGAGATTTTTCTGCCCAGGAGCTTGGGGAGCACAGGGAGCTGGATGTCGCACAATGCCAGCTGAGTGGTTACGACCTCCTCATCTACAGAGAGCCTGGGCAGAAGCTCTGCCCTCCCGGTGATCTCTTTGCCTGGCAGTGGCCCTGCCCAGCTGGCTGGCAAAGTGTCCTGGAGTTAACTTTAAAGGAAGCAAAGAACAGATGGAGCTGCAGTTTCCGTCGCTAGTATTGCTGCCTTCTTCAGCAGCTTCTCTCCTGTCCCTGGAGTCCCTGCCATTGAACAGGAGGTTTGAGTTGTTGGAGCAAATGTCTAATGTCTCTTTTGTCAAAAAATCTTGGGGAGGCAACTGGGAAGAAGGCCCATCCCCCCGCCCCTCGTCTAACTCCCTAGCCTTTGAGTGTCTTTGTATGGTTACACACTTGTTACTCCATTTCACCTTCCGGGAAATACCCTAGTGTAGGGGTAATGTTCTCTTTTCACAGGAGGGTGTAGTGAGCTTGCATGGGAAATACAGGAGGGATCGCTAAATCCATTTGCTCATTGAACAACAGCACAAAGTGTTTTCTCATCTGTACAATGGGGCCACAGGTGTTCTAAGTCTCTAGCAAATTCCACAGCTCAACATCATTCTCCTTCTCTTCTGCAGTCCTTTGCTTTTGTCTTTTCTGTAGACCACAATTGGAAGGAGGTGGCCATGGCAATTTGGAGGAAAGATTGAAGAAAAGATGTCAAGTGGTGGTTCATGCCTGTAATCCTGGCTGCTCAGGCAGCTGAGATCTGAGGATCAAGGTTCAAAGCCAGGCTGTGAGACTTATCTCCAATAAACCACTCAGAAAACCGGAAGTGGTGCTGTGGCTCAAGTGGTAGAGCACTAGCCTTGAGCTGAAGAGCGCAGGGACAGCGCCCAGGCCCAGAGTTCAAGCCCCTTGACCGACAAAAAAAAAAGATATCGTCTTTATAAATGCATAAAATAGTACTTTATATAAATACTATGACCTAGGCTCTCCCTGTACCCCACACCATATATTATTCTGGAGGTAGCCACATTTATTATCAACCTAACTGAAATGAATTTTTTTTAAGGTAGTATGGTTTTAACTCAAGACCTCATGCTCGTTAAGAAGTTGCTTTATCACTTGAACCATGCTCCTAGCTCTTTTTGCTTTAGATTTTTTTTTGGAGAGAGTGTCATGTTTTTGTCTACAGCTAGACTCAAATTTGGATCCTCCTACTTATGTTTCCTGAGCAGCTGGGGTTATAGTGTAAACTACCATACTCCACTTGTTTCTAAAGATGGGTCTCTGTCTCTGTCTCTGTCTGTCTGTGTCTTTCTCTCGCTCCTTCCTCTCCCTTTCCCTCTTCTTCTCCCTCTCCCTCTCTCCCCCTCTTTCTCTTTTAATTCAGCTAACCTCAAGCCATGATCCTTCCGAGTATGTGAAATAAGTTTTTATGGGTCTCTCTCTTGGGAATGAAGAGCAATGGCTGACATAATGAGCCATTGTTGGTTGTTATGAATACCTATTCAATGGGCGGAAAGGTTAAATTCAGGTAGTTTAAACTCTTGTAATATCTGTGTCTTCTTGTACTCACTCACGATCACCTTTCAAAAGTAGAAACAAAGATGTGTCTACATTGTATTTGCCCTCCCTCCCCCTTTTGTTGGAGCGTGGCAGATGGCTCCATCAGCATCCCATTTGGTTTATAAATCAGGAAATATTTACTAAGGCCTTTCTCTGTGTGGTGCGTGTGCCGGGTGACACTGTAGGTTGTAGGCATCTCCACAATGCCCCAGGGAACATCTTGTTGAAACCCAAGCATCAGCCGTGCAAACAGTGAAGTAATGATGCATTGCTGATTCATAACCAAAGAGAAGTCACCAGGAGAC